TAAAGCTAGAGTGTCAAGCAGGGAGGCATTGGGTCCCAGTTTTATCAAGTCTTTGGTATGACCGGACTGGTAATTTAACTCCAATCTCCCAGTCCCAGGGCAGACACTCTACCACTGAGCTGCATTGACACATAGACTTCAGTACAGACTGAATTATTTCAAATGTTTATTTCTTTGGTTGTGATGATGATTATAACGGACAACCACTGTCCCAAATTCAGCATCTCAGAATATTAGAACATCAGTCAAGACCAATGCAAAAAATAAAAAATAAAAACAAAATTAAAAAAACAGAGCAGAAATGCTGGTGAAGATTCTCAGTCATCCAGGTCATGGTAATCCAAACGGGTTCAAATGAAGGCAATTGGACTTCATTGGCTTCTTGAGAACATTTCACTTCTCATCCAAAGAGTTATGTCAGTCCAAGTCCTGTTGGAAAATTATATCTGCATCTCCAAAAAGTTGGTCAGCAGCAGGAAGCATGAAGTGCTCTAAAACGTCCTGGTAGATGGCTGCGTTGACCTTGGAAACACAATGGACCAACACCAGCAGATGACATGGCACCCCAAATTTACATTGGACCTCAAGCAACATGGATTTGGTGCCTGTCCTCTCTTCCTTCAGACTCTGTGACCTTGATTTCCAAAGGAAATGCAAAATTTACTTCCATCAGAGAAAAATATTTTGGACCACTCAGCATCAATCCAGTCCTTATTGCCTTTAGCCCAGGCAAAACACTTCTGAAGTTGTCTCTTGTTCAAGAGTAACTTGGCACAAGGATGGTGACATCTGAAAACGTCTGTGCGTGGTGGTTCATGAAGCACGGCCTCCAGGTGCAGTCAACTCTTTGTGAATCTCCCCCACATATCTAAATGGCTTTTGTTTGTCAATCCTCTACAGGCTGTGGCTATCCCTTTTTCTTGTACACATTTTCTACCACATCTTGTCCTTTCCTTTGCTTCTCTATTAATGTGCTTGGACACAGAGCGCCAGCCTCTTTGGCAATGACCTGTTGTGTCTTGCCCCTTCCTGTGCAAGGTGTCAATGGTTGACTTTTGGACAACTGCCAAGTCTGCAGTCTTCCCCATAATTGTGTAACCTACAGAACTAGACTGACCCCGGCTTTCCACGGCAGCCGTCAGCAGCACGTTACTGCAGCAGCACGTCACAGCTGCTGATAGGAACCGCTGTGGTCAACAGAACCTTTTCCACCGGAGCCGTCGGCAGCCGTCAGCAGCGCGAGTCGGCCGCGTCTCAGGAGCAGCATGTCGCGGCCTTTACGCGCCGGTTCTATTTTCTACGCGCGACGCCTCTGAAACGGGTCAAGTTCGACATTTTTGGGGAAGGAAAGACAGGAAATCGGACGCGGAAATGGAGAGAATCTACTGAGATTTTCAGAATAAAGAACGTACTGCCTTCCGGTTGCTTTACTTTAAAAAAGGTTACTAACTGTGCGGCTCCGTGAGAAGTTATCACCTAGTTAGCGGTCTCCTTTGTTTTTCAGGTCCATATTGGCGATTATAAAACGGACAGAACATAAAACACAAACCATGTTGTAGTTTTCTCCTGCTTGTTGTTGTGTTTACTGACGAAGTCACTCGTGTGACTTCGTGCTCGGTCGGTGACAGCTGCCCCCCTGCTGCTTCGCGTCTCGTGGGAAGGGCCAAGCAGCAGCTTACGCGAGCAAGACGTGCTGCTGCAGTAACGTGCTGCTGACGGCTCCCGTGGAAACCCGGGGTAAGAGACCATGTAAGGGCTTTTGCAGGTGTTTTGAATTAATTAGCTCATTAGAGTGAGGCCCCGGGGGTCTTCAGTATTGAACCTTTTCAATATTCTATTATTCTGAGAAGCAGAATTTGGGACTCTTGTTAGTTGTCAGTTATAATAATCAAATTTTAAGAAACAAACATTTGAAATATATCAATCTGTGTGTAATGAGTTAATCTAATATACAAGTTACACTTTTGAATGGAATTACTGAAATAAATAAACCTTGTCAAGATATTCTAATGTTAGGACCCACACCTGTAAGTGCGTGTGGATTTAAACAAATTTAGAAATATTATACATTTTTATTCATCCAGCTCTTCTGGGGAAATCCCAAGGCGTTTCCTGGCCAGCTGAGAGACATAGTCCCTCCAGCGTGTCCTGGGTCTTCCTTTAGGTCTCCTCCCAGTTGGACGTGCCTGGAAAACCTCACCAGGGAGGTGTCCAGAAGGCATCCTAACCAGATGCACGAGTCACCTCAACTGGTTCCTCTTGATTAGGAGAAGCCCCTCCCAGACTACCGAGCTTCTCACCCTATCTCTAAGGGAGAACCCAGACACCCTGTGGAGAAAATTAATTTTGGACGCTTGTATCAGTGATCTCATTCTTTCGGGCACTACCCAAAGCTTGTGACCATAGGTGAGAGTTGGAATGTAGATCGACTGATTAATTGAAAGCTTTGTCTTCTGGCTCAGCTCTCTTTTCACCACGACAGACCGGTACAATGCCCACATCACTGCATATGCAGCACCAATCTGCCTATTGATTTTGCGCTCCATCTTTCCCTTACTCGTGAACAAGACCCCGAAATACTTAAACTACTCCACTTGGGACAGGACCTCATCCCTGATCCGGAGAAGACATTCTACCCTTTTCCAACTCAAGACCATGATCTCAGATTTAAAGGAGCTGATTCTCATCCCAGCTGCTTCACGCTTGGCTGCGAACCGCTCCAGCGAAACCTGGAGATCACGTTCTGATGAAGCCAACAGGACCACATCATCCACAAAAAGCAGAGACCTGATCCTCAGGTTACCAAAACAGATCCCCTCAGCACCTTGGCTGTGCCTGAAATCCTGTCCATAAAAGGTAGGAACAGAATCGGTGACAGTGGGCGGCCTTGGCAAAGTCCAATTCTCACCAACAACCGACTTACTGTCGGTAATGCGGACCAAGCTCTGACATCGGTCATATGGGACCTAACAGCCCGTATCAGAGAACCTGGTTCCCAGAGTACCCTCCACACGGCCCCCTGAAGGATGTGATCGGACCCCTTCTCCAAATCCACAAAACATATGGAAACTTTGCAAACTCCCACACAGCCTCCAGGACACCCCTAAGGGTATAGAGCTGGTCCAATTTTCCACGGCCAGGAGGAAAACCACATTGTTCCTCCTGAATCTGAGGTTCGACAATCCGATGAACTCTCTTCTCCTGAATCCATGAACAGACTTTACCAGGGAGGCTCAGGAGTGTGATCCCCCTGTAGTTAGAACACACTCTGCGGTCCAGCTTTTTAAATAGAGGCACCACTACCCCAGTCTGCCATTCCAGTGGAACTGCCCCAGATGTCCATGTGATATTGCAAAGCCATGTCAGCACAGCCCTACAGTATCCTGAACCTTAAGGAACCCTGAGCAGATCTCATCCATCCCCATAGCCTTGCCACTGAGGAGCTTTTTAACAATGTCTGTGACCTCAGTCCTGGAGATTGGAGAGTCCAACCCAAAGTCCCCGGACTCTGCTTCCTCACTGGAAGACATGCCGTGTCGAGGTCAACAGCACACCGTCCACACTATAAACAGTGTTGGCAGCGCACTACTTTCCCCTCCTGAGGGTGCCAAATGTTCCTAGCAGACCCTCGCAATACGTTTGGGCTGCCAGATCTGACCGGCATCCTCCCCCACCATCCGAGCCAACTCACCACCAGGTAGTGGTCAATTGACAGCTCTGCCCTTCTCTTCACCTGAGTGTTCAAGACATGTGTCCACTGATCAGATGAAATGACAACAAAGTCGACAATTGAGCTGCAGCCTAAGATATCCTGGTGCCAAGAGCACAAATGGACACCTTTATGCCTGAACATGGTGTTCATTATAGACTATCTTGACCAGCACAGAAGTCCAATGACAAAACACTGCTTGATTTTAGATCAGGTGTGCCGTTCCTCCCAGCCACACCTCTCCAGGTCTTACTGTCATTGCCCATGTGAGCGTTAGAATCCCCCAGCAGAATGAGGGTGTCAACTCCAGCACCCTCTCAAAGGACTTCAAAAAGGATGGGTAGTCTGAACTGTAGTTTGGTGCATAAGCACAAACCACAGTCAGTGGGAGGCTACCCTCTTGTTCACCAAGGTAAACCCTAACGTACAGTCACCAAGATGGGGGGCAACTAGTATGCCCACCCCTGCTCAGCGTCTCTCAGGAAGAGCAACTCCAGAGTGGTAGAGTATTCAATTCAATTCAATTCAATTCAATTCAATTCAAAAATACTTTATTAATCCCAGAGGGAAATTGATTATCCAACCCTTCTCAAAGAAACTGGTTCTGGAGCCAGAGCCATGCATTGAGGTGAGGTGAGTCCAACTTTATCTAGTCAAAACTTTTCCACCTCTCACACCAACTCAGGCTCCTTCCCCACCAGAGAGGTGACATTCCACTTTCCAAAACCAGCTTCTGTAGCCAAGGATCAGACCGCCAAGGTCCCCACCTTTGGCCCCTCCCATGAGTGGTGAGCCCATAGGAAGGGGGACCCACTTTTCCTCTTTGAGCTGTGCCTGACCAGATTACATGGGTGAAAGCCCGGCGACCAGCTCCAGGTCAACTTGAGCCCTGGCTCCAGAGGAGGGTCCTGGTGACCCGCGTCCGGGCGAGGAAACAATGTTTCCATGTTTCTTTTCTTCATTGGGAGTCTTTGGGCTGCACTAGTTCTGATCCCTCACCTATGACCTGTTTGACATGGGTGATCCTACCAGAGGCTAAAGCCTCAGACAACTTAGCTCCTAGGATAACTGAGACACTCAAACCCCTCCACCACGGACAGGTGGCAGTCCAGGGAGGAGACAATTTTATAAAATTTTAACATAACTTTTTTATTATTTTACAAATACATTAATTGGAAATGTGCACCCGCATAAAAATAACAGTATTTCAATAGTGTTTAAGCAATTTCCTCCTACGTGCTGAGGAGACCGCCTTTGCTTTTCACTATCAGCCAATCAGCTTCATCCACTCTAAAAGACGTCAGCTACCGAGCCACAGTCCAGGAAGTTGGAAGTTTCTTGTTACCCAAAGTACGACACAAGCTTCAACAACTCTCTAAACCAGAACCTAGTCATAAACAGTAAAGAAAGAGAACGGAACTTATTTTGTTCTCTTCTAAAGGAACGTTTCTTTTGGTGGACTAACTTTTTGCAAATCAGCGAGCGAAAGTCAGGAAACGGTAGGACGCAGTTTCGCCATACATCACTTCTGAAGATGCTAGCCTCAAGTCTTCCGTCTAATTGTTGTACCAACGCCCACGATGACCCAGCTCATAGAGTGAGTAGAGATGCGACACACTGTCGAGTGAGTTTGTTTTGGGGTTATAGAGCTTATAAACGACGTGAAAGTAACCAGAGAAAGGTATTATGAAGAAGCGGCTGGGGTCAAAAAAGTCGCTAGACTGCTAGCATCACAACGGTTTCTCCCGTGGTCTCACACATCAATCCTCAGTTAAGAGAATCTAGGATCTCTTATGATGTTATAGTGGAGTGTAAAATGAGGCTGGGGTATGTTCAGCACTGGGAGTGACGAACTGAGAAAAACATCTGGGTTTGTTGTTCAGATCCTGACAGGGAACTTATCACAGAAGACAAGCAGGGTAACGGACAGGAGAAACTAGCTTTAGCACAGAAGTTGGGTTTGAACTTCATCGACTAGAACACCATTCAAGTAGTCTCTGTTGTATATGGTGACTCTTTCAGAGTCAGAGACTTTCTAATAACCGCAATAGGCGGAGGCAATTGAGAGTGCTATTAGCAGACCAGGATACTGGCACTTAGCTCCTATTTCCAGTCAGTTTCGATCCTTGTGTCCACATTTGATTGGATCTAATAGACCTCTTTGACACCTGGCGTTATGACTTGTCACAGAACAATAAGTAATGTGAAGTTAATAACAGAAAATGAGCTCTTTTCAATAAAGCTCCGAGGGATACTTCTTACTCCAGGTCTTGGGGACCCCGTCATAATTATTTTAGATGTTTTCCTGCTCCAACACGTGTTATTCATTCAAATGAATAGTCAGCATGACTCTACAGCAGCTAAAATATCACTCATTTATTTTAATCAGGCGAGTTTGTTCCAGAGTACTTCTAAAACATTCATGGCAGGGGTTGCCCAGGGCCATAGCTGGGAAAAGCTGCTTTAAGCCATGACAGAGGAGCAGCAGGAACTCCTCTGCATTATTAATTCACATGTGCTTAATTTCCTTCTGCCACAAAAGAATTTGTGCACTCAAATACTTTTATTCTTGATTATTCACTTCCAACCAGTACTACTGATGCAAATGGCTCAATATGTACCTCTGGAAATGACATTTTCCTTCCTTCAATCATCTATTAAGTGAAATTTACAACAGTTCTGTTGCCTTGGTGATTTTGAAATCATAAAAATCATATGATGGATGTTTGATGTGCTCATGTCTTAGATGCTCTGACAAAGATGTGATTCATCAGGTTGATTGAAAAAATAAATATTAATGAATGGATATAAAAATATTTTTGCCTCTGTAGCAAATATGAATAATTTGGATAATTGGACATATGTTCAATAGAAACACAAAAACAAAACAATCTGAGTTGCTTCATATTAAAGTAAACATCTCTGTGTAATGCTTGAGTTCCACATAATAAACTTTCCACACTTGAAATCTTTCTAATTAATTTAGCCTTTCATCAGAAGAGTGATGGATTTTCCTCTAATACTTGATAATAAGCAACATTTGCTACAAATTTCTGTATATTCTTGTGTAAATCCAGTGCTTCCCCTAGGAATTTTTCCAGCTGTGGTGTGGCTGCATTTTAATAACTAGTATTAAAGGTGAATACACCAATATTTGCACAAGAATAATTTTTGTTTTAAACTCTCAGTGACACACTTTGCAGGGGGGATTTGGCATTTAATTTTTCTTGGTATCTGGAAAAACATCTCCTTCTGCCCCCCTTTATTTGACTTTCTGCCCTCTTTATTTTGGTCCAAGATCATTACTGGGCTGGCCCTATTAAACACGTTCTACACCCCTGCTTAGTAGACTTTAGGGCTGTAGCGAAGCCTCGACGAAGTCGACGGCTCGATTCTAAAAATTTGTCGACGTCAGATCCGGAAGTCGACGCACCGCGCCCACTTGTTGCATCCCCTGGAGTTTGTAAATAGAGGAGGAATCTGCCTGTTTTTCCTCTAGTTCGCCCTCTTCTCCGCCTTCACTAACATCTCCGCCAAATACCGAAGACCCGGAACAACGTCCGTCCACTACTAGATTATTTTCCTGTTTTGCCCCTTCGTCTCCCGGCAACGGACAACAACTTCCGGGGTCAGATGTGCGCTGCTCCGTCTCTGTCGCAGATGTAGAAAATCACCGGGAGCGTTTCTCCCTTCATTAAGGAGCTTCTTTCAGACATGAGGAGAGCTGTTTTGGTGGTAGCAGTCTCTCCTCCGTGCTGGTCTGTTTGCTGCTGGGTGTTTTGGGTTTATTTAAACTTGGTAACTTGAACTTAATGTTGGTAAAGCTACTGTTAGCATCTTCGCTAACAGCTTCTTGCGTTGGGATAAGCTGTTACGTTTTGGTTTAGAGTTCATCTTTTTTGTGGTGTAGATCTCCCTTTTATTACATTTAGAGTGTTGTGGGTTTTCGGTTTAGTTTAAAATGTAAGACCACTCGCCTCACGCACATAAGTGACCAAAACAAAGCAGCATGGAGACTCTCCATCTTCTACCACCTCTCAGGCAGCAGCCTGCACTCCCAGGTTCTACACGTCACCAGAAAACCAACACAATAAACGCAGTGTTATACAAAATGGAAGGCCTGTAGTGTTTATTCTCTTACAGTAAGAATTTATCAATTTTTTTGAGGAATTTATTTGAGATTTTCTGGTTTTTGTTAATTGTGCAATAGAAAAATAATCATTAGATTAATTTTCTAAATAGTCATTAGAATAGTCGACTATTCGATAAAATAATCGTCAGAATAATCGTTTTAAAAATAATCGTTTACCCCCAGCCCTAGTAGACTTAATGAAGTATTTTTAAGCCAGTATAAAAATGACTGAAACACAAATTTACATATTTGGCATTATTGACCAGTATCTTTGATTTAATTTATTTGTTAAGAACATCAAGATGCATTACAGTGAACATTATAATAAAGTACATGTTTCTAGGGCAGAGTGGAGACAACCCATAGAAGCACTGATTGGATCTCATTTCAGAGAAAAATAGAACAGGTCAGATGCACCTAATAAATAAAATTACTAACAAACACGGGAATCTGTTTCTTTGCTTCATTGTTCTGGTGCTGAAAATATCACTAATGCGGATCAAAGGACATACACAGATGAATGCACCTCTTATTTATTATTTGGAAATTAGTGGGTGTGGTTTGCATCAATACATGATTTTAAATCTAAAATTGATATGGATTGATCAGAAGTTGATATGTTTATTGTTTATTTGAAAACTATTTACAGAGCAGTCTCAGAATTGAGATTAAATATTTTTGATCACAATAGTAAATAAACTATTACAGAACAAGTTTTTGACTAAAATCAGAATATTATTATTTAAGTGCATGAAAACCTAGGGAGCACTGAAGAAACGTCAGCAACAGTGAAGCAAGCACAGAGAGATGCGTTACTGTGTGTGTGTGTGTGTGCGTGCGTGCGTGGATGGGCAGGACGGACTGAGCTCCCGGCTGCAGTTTTGTGTGTAGGGAGGGGCGGGCACTCTATGTGACTGGCCAATCACAGAGCGTGAAGACAGTCAGTTACCCAATGAGGATTTTTCTTCAGCACGATTACAGATATTTACGAGTTTTACTCGTTTCATGCTCGTAATCGTCAAAAATGCTTTATCTGTACCGGATATTAGTCTGAAATGAGTATCCGGCTCATCCCTAGCTGTAACCACCCGGCCCTGCCTCCTCCTCCTTGCTGCCTGCCGGCTGTGATCACAAGCAACAACAGAGTAGTTCCCTCTGCTTCTTCGGGAAACGGCGCAAAAAAAAAATCAATAAAACTTGGAATCTTGTAGGCGTGGTGCTGGGATTTCAGCCGTGGCGTACCGCCACGGCTACGCCCATGTAAGGGAGACACTGAAATCTGAACAAACTGCCAAAGATAATTTATTTGTGTGTTTTTGGCTATTAAAATGAGTCATTTACCTTTTCAGTTGGTTTCCTCTGTAGTTATTTTCTGCTTGTTGCTGCCACTGCTCTTTGTTGTTACAGACTGAAGGAAATTGTGATTTTCCCACTTCATCTGTTCATCCATAAAACTGCTCTTCCTGTGTGATTGCTTACTCACCTTTGTCACCACGGGTCCGTAAGGGTTAAAACGATCTTTTTTTCCCCTTTTCTTTCAAATCACGACAAGAGTTGTCTTGAGGGACTTCACACAGTGAACATTCCAATACAGGTCAGTTCATTAAGCTAATCAGTAAAAAGTTTCCTATATAAGGAACCCAGCAGGTTACATTGAGTCACTGACTAGTGTCAGAGTCTTTACAGCAATCTTCATATTAAGCAAGCATGCAGCGACAGTGGAGAGGAAAACTCCCTTTTAAGTGGAAGAAACCTCCAGAGGATCCTGGCTGCGAAGACAGAGCGCACACGCTCGCACGCACGCACGGACGGACGCACGCACGCACGCTCTATTGGGTTTAAATCAGACTCACACACACACACACGGCAATCTAACTGGCTGTCGTATTTAAATAAGTCCTTTGTTATTGAAATGGAACAGGTGAAACATTTCTGTGTCAGGAGAGCCGGGGACCCATGTTTACTTTATGTGATGTCACACCCTCTGCACATCCAGCTCATTCCAGGGCCACAAACAATTCACACTGCTGTATTCAGGTGGTCGCATTTAAATATAAATTGTGAAAAGTCATGCTAAAATACATTTTTAATAAACGCGCTTAAAGGTCTGCTGTGTGAACCTAGTTGAAGTTGCAATTAACTCATTCACTGCCAGCTGTTTCCTGATCACTAACGGCCTTCGCTGCCAGCGTTTCTCACCATTTTTACTGTTTTTTTTAGGAGTCACAGAACGTTGCGCGCTAGCATGATGTCAATGCCAAAACAACCAAAACAAAGAGGAGACTCACCTCTAACATCAGGAAGAAGCCGCGTGTTTCGAGCATTATCCGTTCTTTCATAATCCGTTGTCGAATTGTGATCGGCAGACGCTTTTCCGGTTCGCGACTCACTTTTTTTACAGGAACGGCCCAAAACGATCTCCTAACACATGGATGTGTTGCTTCCTGATCATGTGATCTGTGACG